TTCCAGCACTGCTCCAGCCTGGGAAGCAGCCGGCAAGCTCGGCACAGAAACCACAGGACAGCACCAAGCAGAACAGTGGGAAAGGGATGTTTGGATCCAGGCATATTTGGAGAGCAGCATCTCCTCATCATATGGCCATGAAAGTGGTTACGAGCAGGATGGGTTTCAGATTTTTTTAATTTAACCTTTCTTCTCATTCAAATAGAAATTAAGTCAAACTCACAAGTGGAGGTGGAGCCATCAGCTCCCAAAGCTGGGGAAGCCTTTGGGATCTCTGCCTCCCAGGGCCACCTCTCCCATGCACAAAATCTGCTGCACAGAGCACAACCATCTACCAAAACCCCTACATTGTCCTTCAAACAGAAAGAGGTGATCCTGGCACTCAGTCCTCTGCCCTCAGGAGAGTTCTCCTTAGTGCTGAAGCAGCTCAGCAAGTGACTTTGGTTCCCAACATACAACCCAGCTTCCCATGCCAGTCCCCCCTCTGATGGCACAGCACAGCCACGTCACCGAGCAGCTCCCAGAGGAGCAGACAGTGCAGTGTCACTGCCAGCACAGCACCAGCCCCACCAAGAGGGGCAGACACACAAAACCATGAAGCAAGACATAGAGAAACCCGAGGGGGTGAAGGTCTCCCCCACAGCAGGGCCGAGGGGCTCAGACATGGCCCCGGGGGCTGAGCTCAGGCAGCAGGTGCCGGGCAGGGGGCGGCTGCAGCAGGGCGGCCAGGATGCGCTGCAGCTGGGACAGGCGGGAGCGCAGGGAGGTGGTGGAGAAGAGGTGCAGCTGGTAGGACGGGTCAAGGGGCAGGATGGAGATGAGCCACCAGCACCATGTCGGGCCATCTGCTGAAGCCTGGAGGGGAGAGAGGGAGAGATCCCCATGTCAGGAACTGCAAGGTGAACACGTGGCCCTTGGGTGGCATCGCTGGTGGGGAACAGGCTCTTGACAGGACAGCAATGCCAGCTTTGGTGTTCTTCTGAGCAGCCCTTCTGTCTGTCCAGGCTCAAAATTGCTGGATAAACTAATTTAATTTCCAGACAAGCAGTCCCCAGGGAGTCTCCAGACACAGATGTAACCAGGGAAAAATCTACACTAAAGAGACAAAGAAAGATCTCAAGCATTTTCCTGTTTAAGGCAACAGTTTTTGCAAACACGGGCCAACCTGCATGGTTGGTGGCTTTTGGGGCACTTGCCTTTTCATCACTCAAAGAGCAGAGCCAGGCACAACTGCTGGGCAGGGCTTTTGTAAACCAGCTTTTTTAAAACCTGAGCCAAACAAAGACAGGAAATGCTTGATTCACCCGAAGGAGGATGAGTCGTTTTATAATTTTGAGCACAGTGTTGATGCAACCACTGGCCAGAACAGCCTTAGCCTGGGACATGCCAGCAAGAGCATATTTGAATCCAGACAGGCAACACTTCATTAAAGGAGTGAAAACTAAATTTTTGGGTTGTTTGTTTCCTTCTTCTAGAATCCAAATTTCTTACAGCAATTTAATAAGCAAACTCTCAGCTCCTCTCCTCTGGTCAACTATGGCTGTCTTGAAGGAACACAATGAGAAAGGAGACTGCAGACTCACTGAGCTGTGGGGTTCCTTTCTTTGCCCATTTGTTTGGCTTTATTTTGTTGTGTTGTTTTTTTTTTTCCCCAAGTGTTTTAAAATCCAGTTAGTTTTTTGGTTCTCATTTAGGAGAAGATTCTAAGAAAGCTTTAAAATTCAGCATTCTGTTTCCAAGAACAGTTTAGAACCATAAATAAATGTTAAAGAGTTCTAAGAAATAAGGCCTACCACATCTCTGAGTGAGAGATGTCATAAACAGAAATGGGAGTGAAAAACAGGGGGTTTTTTGCTCATCTTGGGGGGAAGTTGAGCAGGGAAGCAGGGTGGTCAGTGTGGGAACGGCACTGCTTCAGATGTTCTCTTGGTATCTTCTCTATTTAGAGCATCCCTTCCCTCGGGGCATTACCTGGATGTCCTCTTCCTTCTCTGGCAGTGGTCCATGCTGCACCAAGGTGTGCCTGGAGGCCAGGTCTCTGTGCTCACAGAACCGCTGAGCCAAGCGGTAGGTGCTCTCATGTAGGCACTGAAGCTCCTGCAGCTCCTCCCCAGCCACCTGCACGGATGGAAGAGGAACAACACAGAAGGTCTCCATGGGAAGGCTCTATCCCACCAAAGCAGGGCCTTTTTGCCCTGGCTCTGCCCTCACCTTCCTATCCTCCAGGTACTCGATGTCAGCAGTGTTGTAGCCGTCCCTGTGTCCCCGGCTCAGCACCCGGAACCGCCGCCTGCCGACGGTGTCCACCAAGGACCTCCCGTCCGCCAGCAGCTCAATCTGCCGAATCTCCAGCATGCAGCCATAGTCAGCAAAACTGGAGGGAGCCAGGGGGAGAAAAGTGGGGCTGAGCTGGGATACCAGCGGGGGGAGAGCTGCTTCTCCTAAAGTCAACACCTCCAAGGAGGAAAAGGCCCAGGAACAAGATGGCTGGGAGATTTATTCAACTCTGTTGAATTACCACTTGCTGCTAAGAGGGCAGGGAACAGCCAGCACACTGCCTGCACTCCCTTGGATTGCCTTATCCAAAAACTGCTTGGGTCCTCTTACTGTCCTGATGTCCAGTGCTCCTGAAGACACCATCTCTTGCAGAGACATCTTCCCAAAGCCCAGAAAATGTTATTTATCTCATTGCACTTGAACAGGACTGAAGGAAGGGGAAGGTACTTTATCTAAATGCAAGTGTTTAAGTACAGATACCCGGGTTAGGAGCCTGGAGACTGAGCCCACCCAAGACCTGGAGGTGCCACTGGGAACACAAGTATGGCCACACTGCAACGCTGCATCAAACAAAAGCCCATTTAGCCTAGTGTCCTCTTGGAGCTTGTTAAGGACAAAGTATGCAAAAATAGGAATTTTAAAGCTGGAGGAACCAGCCAGGGAACAGTGCAGCTCAGAGATGTCCTGAGCCAGAAGCTGTTCCCAGCCTGTCATTTAACAGCCACTGCTGACTCTGCCCAGCCCCAGCCCTGGCCCCACTCCTTGCCTGGCTGGTGTGGTAAACACACCAATTCTCTGCCGATTGTACCTGTGGCGTGCAGTGGGGTAGGAAACTGCACCTTGTTCCTCCAAACTACTCAGGATTTTAGACTTCTGGGGATGAGGCAGAGAGGGGCAAATCAGCCATGGCAGAGGGCAGCTGCCTGGCCCAGGAACTCACCTCTTCCCGTTCTCATACACACACATGCCAAACCTCCTCGTGCCCGTCTCCTGGCAGCGCCGGATCATGAGGCGGTAGCGGGGCTCGAAGACGTGCAGGGGGCAGGCAATGCCTGGGAAGGACATCGTGCATACGAAGATGGGGATGTTCTTGGTCAGGCTGAGGGACAGGAGAAAAGACCACTATGAAACCTCCTGGAGCAAATCTCATCCTAAAGGCTCTGCACTACCTGCTCACCCAAACCAAATGTCTCTTACCCCAAGAAGTGATGCTCCAGTGTAGAGCAACACCAAAGTTTCCAGTTGGCTCATCCAGCCCTCATGCATGCACACACACACACACAGACACACTGGGGCAGGTCCCTGCTTACTTGGAGAGCTCTGCCATCTCAGCCTGGTGCAGCTCCCGGCGCTCGGCCAGCTGTGAGGGGAAGGTGGCCAGCATGATGTCCTGCAGCAGCACCGTGGGGCTGTAGCTTCCAGCCTTTAGGTACTAAAATAAATTAGACCCAGAAATAGGTCAGAGAAGAGCAGGGAGGGGAGCCCTGAGGCCCTGCCAGGCTCTGAATCACACTCACTTTCATTGGAGCTGAGGGTAATTTTAGATCAGAGGAAGTCAGAGATAAAACCTATGGGGAATGTTGAGACATCCAGCAGGATGGGATGTCAGCTCCACTGAGACCTCCAGACATGGCCCAAACCATCCAGTGCAGTGTTCTGTCTCTGACAGTGACACAGTCCTTGTATGACAACCTAATTTCCTGGACTGTCTCATCCAAATCCTTTTTCATTAAAGATTAAATCAAATCTCCAGGTTAGCATTCTTCCATTCATTTCCATTTTTTAAAGTAATTAGCATTCTCTTCTTTCTTCTCTTTCTCTACGTCTCAGTCCTGTTTACAATCTCCCTAAATCACTGTGGCATCTTGTGGAAATGAATCTCTTGGTCTTAATTATCAACTGTCTAGTCTTTCCCATGCGAGTGGAGCTGACAGTGCTGTGCCAGGGAGCTGCTAACAGAAGAGCATCGCCCTTCCCACCCAGCCCTGGTCCTGCTGCCACCAGCTGGAGCCAGTCCCGGCTCTCCACGGGGCTCTCTCCCACGGGATGTGTGCCCTCACCTCTCTCAGGCTCTGTTTGCAGAGGGGGCAGTTGGGCCGATGGTCCAGGCAGCGTTCCAGGCACTCCTTGCAGAAGGTGTGTCCACACGGCGTCGTCACCGGCTCGAAGAACATCCTGCAAAGGGACCTAAGTCAATGGACCGCAAAGAGCAACGTGGGAGAAGGAGCACAGGGAAGCCAAGCAAAGAGAGATTTGTTCACAGGGCTGGGTGCCCTCAAAGCTGTCATTCCCCAGGCCTGGCTCAGCAACCTAGTTTGGAAACCCTGGCTGGTGTCAGCCCCATGACAGGAGGGTTCCCCAAAGCACTCAAGGACTTGTAGAAGGCCAGGCTGGTGCTGCAAAGGCTGAGAAGAACAGGACAGGCAAAGCCATGGGTGCAGCTTCTGGCTTTCCCCATCTTTCTTGAATCACCTTGCTGTGAGCAAGAGATTTTGCTTCCAGCAAGAATAAGACTTTTCCCATGTCCTCTCCTACCATTTCAAGAGATATCTTCTGCCTCCACCCACCTTTTGCACTGAAGACAGTGATGCTGCAGAGATGTGATGCCACAGAAACCTATCAGGCTGTGTCTTCCAAGTCCTGGCAGCCCATGGCTACGCAATTCACCTTCTCTAGTGCTGAATTGGCTAAGATTTGCTCTTAACTCCGGGTAATTAAATGTAACGGTTCCTAACTGGCTTATTCTTTTAATTAGAAGCCAGGGCTCAGGCTGTCAGACTTGCACAATGATGTAGATGAGAACAGTCCAAGGCCTTAGAACTGCTCCCTGTCCCTGCACAGACCCCATCAGTACATACATGGCAGCCCTCAGTCCTGGCAAGGCTGTGGTTCTCCAGACACCCACAGAAATGTGTAGCCCAAAAGGCAGACAGAAAAGTGCCTTCTTCTCCCCTGCTCCAAGGGCAGAGCTGGCAGCAAGTGCTTGGGTTGCTCACAGGAGGCTCCAGAAATTAAATGGACCCAGGAAAGACCTGCTCAGCACCGAGCCCCAAGTCCTCCTAAACATTATGTTTCCCTGCTCCCAGAAGAGACCTAAATTCACCTAATTGAGACCAGATACAGCCTTGATCTCTCTCTCCCCTGTGTCCTTCCCCTGTGCCATGGCCAGACCTGGGAAAAGTCACTGCACAGGAGACCTTGACTGTCTTGCAGATCTGGTGGTGCAATGCTCAGCTCTCTGCCAGCAGTTGCTTGCACAAGTGCTCAAGGTCCTGAGACATGCTAGAATAAAAGCCTGGTTTCAGCATGCCCTGTGGCAGCACTCAGCCCTTCCTCAGACCTGAGTCAGCAGACAGCTCTACCTCATCCCCTCTTCCATCTCCCCTCTTCCATCTCTAGGCACAGAGCTTGGAAATGCTCCCATCTGGGTGTGCAATATCCCTGTTGTTGACGGTATCTCCCTGGGGCAACACCTTCCTGTTCCAGCCTGCAGCTACAAAGGGAAACCACCACTTTCAGTCCTTGACCCCCCTGAACAGCCCCACCTTGGCTCTGATGCAAGCAATACGGATCTAAGGATGCTGTGCCCTGAGACAGGGTGATCAGAGCTCTCAACGCCTGGCAGGGCAGAGCATGTCCCTGTCCTCCCCTCTTATCTCTACTGAAATCTGCGTCACCGGTAGTGGGAACTGAGTTTGCTAGTAAGATGTGAAGAAAGATCCACACTAGGTAAGAACACCCAGCAGGTGCTAATTCACCCTTAAAGCTCTCCTGCCAGAGAACTCACCGTATGCAGAGGGAGCACTCCAAGTCAGATAGGCTCAGCAGCTCCTCAAGGCATGTCTGGGTACACTTTGCTGCCTCTGTTTCCTCTGCATTACCTAGTGGCAAAGGTGAAAGAAGGAGAAGAGCCTCCATTTCAATACTGAAAATTAATCTTTGCCTTCTGACTTTGTTCTGAGGTGTAAGTAGGTAATTGCTACACAAAGTGCTTTGAAGGTTAAAACAAAACTGCTATGAAATGTGACATAAACCCTCCTATTAACACATCCACATACATCCATAGTTTTTCCACCAATGGCTCTCATGGTACGTGGCAGAGGAAGGTGGTTATCTCCCTACCTCCTTTTGCAGGCACTGAAAATGAGGCACTGGGAAGTGAAGTGGCCTAAGAAGCTCCCAGATGGAGTTGTCTGGAGACCTGCCACAAGGCATCATTACTGATTTATGCAAAACTCACATACATGGAAGCCACCTGGCTGGACACTGGTGGCAAGTTAATGCCCATGGAGGTGCCACTTGCCCCAAGACATGGTATGCTGTGTCCCTCACAAGGGAATTTAAGTTCTGATCAAAACCTAACAGGAACCCAAGGAAGCCTTTCCCTGGCTCCACAAAGTGAACAAGAGATGTCTGTCTTTGGCAAGAAGTTTTCATCAAGTGACACCTAAAGGTTTGGTGTATGTTCAGCAGCTGAACACAGAAAGATCAGATCCTCCTCACAAGCAGCAGATGTGTCAACCTGAGCTGCCCCATCAGGTGCCCCTGGGATCTCTGCTCGCTGAGCTGGCACTCGGCACAAACACTCTTTTCAGTGTCAAAATAGATTTTAAACAATTATTTAGCTTGAGATGAGATTTTGATACTTTTGACAACACTCACCTGCCAACCTCTGGCCCTGCCTCTCTGCCAAAGTCCCCAGTTCCAATTCCTGCCATCGCTCCAGCTGGGAAAGGGGGGCTGTCCCCTGGTCCTGCTCAGAGCCAGCATCCCCTCTGCTGTGCAAAGGTTCTCCCTCCTGGTCCTAGACAGAGCAAAGACAAAATCAAGGCCAAAACCTCTTCCTCTTTGAATACACTGCCATCCACCCCACCGAGCCTGATGGCACCCAGTTTCTCCAGTGTGCTGGTGTACATGAACATCTTGCATATGAGGGACAGCAGGAGAGCATGGCCCTCACAGACATCCCTGCTCATCTCACAGTTACTCTGTTTACTCTGTCCAGGTGTACCACCTGGTATTTGGGTGTATCTGAGCCCATTGTCTCTGATTTTCCCCTCTCTTCAAACCTGTCAAGTTCATCTCTAAATAGCAAAGAGCAAAAGAGAAGCTTTCCTTAATAGCTGCTAGGTCTGAACTGTCCTCAAATGTGGTTTTTGGATGAAAAAAAAACACATTAAAGCTGACTTCTCTTTTTTTGCTGAATGTGGTGTGACTTGGGTGTTTTAAAAACAATGAGAGTCTAAAATCTAACCAAAAGTATTGCAGAATTTAACTGGGAAAGGAATAGAGGCAGAAAGAGCCTCCTTTCTCCCATCTCCACAGCATCAGCTCCAATGGCATCTTTGCTGTCTCCACTACCTGCAGCTTCTCATCCCAGCATGCAACCACATTTTGTGGATATGGCACAGCCTCTTCTTATCACACCTCCTTTCCCATCATTGAAGAACTTCTATTTGGGATGTCCCAGAGGATCATTAAGTCCCATTGCAGACCCAGATTGTTGTAGGCTTTCTCACCTGAGCTTGTGCGGAAGACGATGGGAGCACCAGGTTCCTTCCATTGACTTGGGGACCAGCCAAGCCCCCATGAACATCATCCAGGAGTGCAGAAGCCATGCATGGCTGAGGAGCATCCTCTGGTGTGAGGATCTGTAAGGAGAAAATGGAGCTCAAGGGGTGCTGAGAGAAGGAACCAGGGAGGTGGATGGGCTGCCAGGCTCCCTCATTTCCCAAAGAGCAAGAAGGGGATCAGCTGTGGAGGGCACAAGGTTGTTCACTATTCTCCTGTTCTTTCCCTCCTGGAGGACATGTGTCCATTCATGGCATGAAGTCCCCATGCTTGGGGACTGCCAGAGGCCCCACTGGTGACAATTACTTTGGTACATGGGTGGGTGCTGACCTGAAACCATCTGCAGAAAAAACACAGACTAGCCAGCTTTGGGTGACAACTGATGCTGCCTCAAGGCCCTCCTCATGCCATGTCAGGATCTAAACTCTGCAAAATCTGAGATCCGAAGATATGGACTTAGGAAGGAGAGCTTTCTTCATGGGTAAACCTGCATTAGATCAATGGGAAGGCTCTTGGACCAGGACACAACTTCACTTGATCTTGTTGCTGGCCAGAGCAGCACAAATGGGATGGACACGAGTCCTTCAGATGACAAGGGCACCTCCCCGTGTGATGCGAAGGCACAGGATGCCACCACAGTATAGTCCACACACCTTCTCCATCTCTCTCCGAGCAGGATGGAAATGGGGACTGAGTGTCAGGCAGTGTTCCCATGCCAGCAGGGCTTCAGCTCTCTGTCCCATCTCCAGAAGCACCTTCCCTTTCCTGAAGAAACCCTGCCAAGCAGAAAAACCTATGGTGACTATGAGACAATGACCAGCTGAGGATAAGCCCCTTCAGCTGCCATGTGAGCCCCAAGGAGATGTCCCTCCAGACTCCTGTGTGACCCCATCCCATGCCAAAGCACCCAGAAGAGTCGCTGCTCCCATGCTCAGACTTGTCCTTTTTACCCACCAGTTCCCCCCACAGCCAGGTACTCATAAAACAGAAGTCAAGTACCCATAAAGTTGGACTCGGGTACCCATAAAACAGGGGTCTGCCAAAATGTAGCAGTTGCAAAAGCCAAGAAAACAAACCCCACAGAGACCTAGAAAAGGAATCAAGGGTCTCTGCCTTTGAAGCTGCAAAACTATTGCCAACGAGTGCTTCACAAATCAGTGAGCAACCTCCCAGGGTTGATTTCTCCTGGGGTAGCTCAGCCTGTGTCCAACACCTCCCTGAGTCCCCAGCTGTGATCCTGCACACCAGCACAGCCACATGCCCTCATGCCCTGCCCATCCATCAAGGACAGACAGGGTGCTGGACCTCTCCCACCAGAGCAAGGCAGAGCTCGCAGCCTGGATTTGCAACCTAATGGTTTGCCGAGTGTGCGTCTGAGCAGGATTAATCCAATGGCTGGGAGAACTCAGGAAAGGGAGGAACTGCTCCCATACAGCCAGATTTGGCTCCAAGTGCAGCCAGCTTCTGCAGCCTCCCCTCTGCTCACCTCATGTTCTCCAGGCTCAGCCCTGCATACGGCGTCCAGGTCCTCCAGTGCCTGCTGGTGCTGCCCCAGCGCCACGAACGCCTCTGCCCGGCACAGCCGCAGGGAGCTGGCATCTGGGGCTGGAAAGGGAAATGTTGTCACTTGTGTGATGAGTCCATGCGTGGTGAGCCTGAAGCCAGGGAGATGCCACCGTGGGAGGACAGCCTCTACACCTCTGTCTCGCACTGAGCACAGGCAGCTCCTGCGCTCCTCTTCAGCAGTAGTCGCTGCCCTTGAGACACTGCAAGGAAGTTATTTCCCCTAAATACCTAGTCCTAAATTATTTGAGGTTCTTCCCTTCACTGTTACCCATCTACCCCCAAATACCTTCAGCCTAGGGGCCCCATCACTGCCTTGGAGCTCAGCTCCAGCACTTACTGGCTCAATCCACTGGGATCTGAGCTTTCATCCACCCTTTTGGGATGCAGCAAAAAAACTGTACCATTTATGCACTATCCATGGAGGTTGTTGCCATGGGAGGCTCTGCAATGCAATTCACCCAGCAGAGCCACAATAACTCATTACCAAACAAGCCTGCAGCTGCAGAAACCTCTGATCCCAAAATGCCAGCCTCCTGGAACCACTTGGCTGCCACCACTCTCCCATGGCAGAGGGAAGACTGAGCTGGGAGTGCACGGATCTGCCCCCACTATGTGACTTGAGGTTTCTAAGTATGAAAAAGGCTGAGATTTCCTCAAACGGAGGAAGGGAACCAGGCACTCCATTCCTTGTCAGTGAGATATTAGTAATGGGATCTCTGTGGTAGGGGAGACACAGCTCCTGCAGGTGATGCTAGATGTGTCACTCCAAGTGTCACAGTGCTGGGTGCCCCACATGCTGCTCCTAAATAACAGGCAGTGACACCCTCTTCGTTCCTGTCTCAGAGACCCCATAAAGACCTTCCTTTCTACCAGCAATGGCAGCAGGGAAATTGGGATGGGGGATGCCAGGGAGTACAAGCAAGAAGCACCCCAAAAGCCCACACTCATGGAGTAACCAGGTGTGGTAATGTTTGTGGGTTTGAACTGCAGAGATTCCCAAACCCACCCCATTATATCACAGCTTGCCATGGAGGTGACCTACATCCTGTGCTCCAGCTAAGGCAGCAGGTCTGTGCTCACAGCCCTGTGTCCCTGCCCAGAGCATCACCAGATGGCTGCTGAGGACTGGAGTTAGGGATCCACTGCTCCCTGGCTCCTCTGACACCTCCAGTGTCACACAGGTGCCTCCTGGCTCCCAGCTCCCTGTGTGATGATAGAAAGGCCAGCATGGATAGTACATGTGCTGGCCCTGCACGAAGCTGACCCGGAGGCCAACCTTCATAAATTAGGCAGCATTTGCAGGCACTGCTGCTGCATTTACTGTAGCAAAGGGGGACTGGCAACATCAACCTGCTGAAGTGCCAGCAGCTCCCTCTGGGATGAGTTTGGTCCAGGGAGCTGGCCAGTAGATGATGTGTGACCATCAGGAGACTTTGCTGCTGATAATGTCTCCCACAATCCCAACCCCAGCAGCCTTTCCTCCCGCCCTGGTTCAAACATGGCATTGATGCACCTCTCTCAGCAAACAGCAGATCTGGACTAGCAGCCCGGTGACAGCAGGGCACAGGAAGCCAGCATCTGCTCACACCGGGAACCAGGCACTCCATTCCTTGTCAGTGAGATATTAGTAATGGGATCTCTGTGGTAGGGGAGACACAGCTCCTGCAGGTGATGCTAGATGTGTCACTCCAAGTGTCACAGTGCTGGGTGCCCCACATGCTGCTCCTAAATAACAGGCAGTGACACCCTGTTCGTTCCTGTCTCAGAGACCCCATAAAGACCTTCCTTTCTACCAGCAATGGCAGCAGGGAAATTGGGATGGGGGATGCCAGGGAGTACAAGCAAGAAGCACCCCAAAAGCCCACACTCATGGAGTAACCAGGTGTGGTAATGTTTGTGGGTTTGAACTGCAGAGATTCCCAAACCCACCCCATTATATCACAGCTTGCCATGGAGGTGACCTACATCCTGTGCTCCAGCTAAGGCAGCAGGTCTGTGCTCACAGCCCTGTGTCCCTGCCCAGAGCATCACCAGATGGCTGCTGAGGACTGGAGTTAGGGATCCACTGCTCCCTGGCTCCTCTGACACCTCCAGTGTCACACAGGTGCCTCCTGGCTCCCAGCTCCCTGTGTGATGATAGAAAGGCCAGCATGGATAGTACATGTGCTGGCCCTGCATGAAGCTGACCCGGAGGCCAACCTTCATAAATTAGGCAGCATTTGCAGGCACTGCTGCTGCATTTACTGTAGCAAAGGGGGACTGGCAACATCAACCTGCTGAAGTGCCAGCAGCTCCCTCTGGGATGAGTTTGGTCCAGGGAGCTGGCCAGTAGATGATGTGTGACCATCAGGAGACTTTGCTGCTGATAATGTCTCCCACAATCCCAACCCCAGCAGCCTTTCCTCCCGCCCTGGTTCAAACATGGCATTGATGCACCTCTCTCAGCAAACAGCAGATCTGGACTAGCAGCCCGGTGACAGCAGGGCACAGGAAGCCAGCATCTGCTCACGCCCCTGCCTGTCTCCATTGCCACCATGTCCAGGCACCCACCACATCTTATCATGGAGGAGGACACTCTGCCATGGCTATCGCCTCCTTTTGTCCCCATGTCCAGCATGGAGCACGGGGGGACCTTGTTCTCCACCTGAGGCTCAAGGTGCCACCATAACCTGGAGGCCAGCAGGGAGCCCAGTCCCAGCTGCTCCTGCACTGGCCATGCTAAGTTGTGCAGCAAAGCAATATGTGGTCCCTCAAAGCTTATTCTCATTTACAGCATTAGCCAGGACCTTAGGCCTCAAGTCAGGAAATGTGGGAACTTGCTGCTTGGTACCCCATCCCACCAGCACACATCCAGAGATGGAATACTGCAGCCCCCAACAACAGGGAGAGATGAACAAATGGGTACAAAGCATGGAAGCTTATTTTCCGTGCGGGCAAACCACGCGATCATTGGCACAGCCTGGCAATAAAGCAACTGATTCGATGGAAACAAGAACGGGGCTATGAATTCTACATTTCTCTTCTGCTGCAGCTATTTTTGATCGATGATATCATTAGACATCAGGGACACAAGCCAGCTGGCAGCCCGACAGCTGATGAGTGAGTGACTGATAGCTCTCCCGGCATGTTGGGAGGCCTCCCGTGTTACGCGTTACAGAGCAGTCTGGGTTTTTTTCACTTAGAAAAACAAACTACTAAAAGTCGACAGTTTCTTTTCCCCCAAGCAAAGAGAGTTGCTCTGCAGGCTGGGCTGAGTGGGGCACTGCAAACTGGCCCATCGTGTGACACTGACCCACACAAAATAGCCATTCTTGTGGGTTGAACGTGCAGCAGTGGTTATGCTTAAAAGCTAAGGGGAGCGGCTAAGAAGTTATGCAGCCTGAGAGCAGCCTGCAGGAGCTGGAAAACACATCCTGAAAGAACCACCTACATGGCTGAGCCTGAGCAGCAGCAACAAGGGCAGGTTTATGGGAGCTGCAGCTGTGATTGCAATTTCTTCATTGCCCTAAGATGGACTTCTCACATCCTTTGGGGAACAGAAAGCACAGGGAAGACCAAGGACAGAGCTTGCAACATTTCCTCTTGCAGAGGCTTTTTTAAGAGACACATAGTCATACATCCTAATCAGACAAAGCCTGGCAATAAGGAAGAGAGTACGAAAGTAATAAGGAAACGAGTACTAGTACCATGTGCATTTGCGTTGAAGAACAAGTGCACAGGATGCGAGACAGACACCTTGGGAGGTTGCATAAAGGGACCTGCTTTCTGCTGCCAAGACCAGGATCGGCTGCCCTGCTCAGCCCTTTGGTTCCAGTAATACCCTGAACCTTTGGCACTTGTCTCACAGCAGGCGATAAATAAGTGTCTGCGCAGCTGTGGGAGAGGTGACTGCTGGCATAGAAACGCCAGTGGAGAACGGACCTTCTGCCTCCACCACCCCCGTGCCCTGCTTCAGACACATTATATAATTCCTTTTATTTAAGCATTACTCTCCAAGAAATCCCCTTACAGCCACACATTAAAGCAGATCAACCCCTCTGTGCCTGATCCTCACCCTGCAGACAAATGTCTCTCCAGAGCCAGTTGCAGAAGGGGGCTGAGGAACACACAACGCCCTGCTCTCTAGGGCTGGCACAGGAGCTCAGCCACGGCTGTGTCCTTGCCAGGCTCTGGGGGGAGGTTGTGTCTGCTCCAGACTGGAGAAGTCCCAATCACTTTACATAATGGCTACCCCCTGGGCAGAGCTCTTCCTCTGACCCTGAAATATTGCTGGTGGCAAGATGCAAGAGGCAGTCTTTGGCCCCTCTGTAACATCAGAAGCATGGGCTCTGCACCTGCCCTGCCTCCAGCCCTGGAAGCTGGGATAAGCATCGGGGCTTTGCCCAGCCACCCATCCCTCCCTTCACCCTGGGACACCTGCAGACATGGGAGAATTACCCAACAGCTGGATCACTGCTCCCCATCCCCACCTGTCTTTCCAACACTTCCAGCTTCCCAGGTCTCCCAGCTCTGGACCGTGCAGGCTCGGAGGGCTCTGCAGTGCTGGGACAATGCGACCCACACCGGTCCCCGCCT